CCCTACTACGGAACTTGGAGGCTCATAAATTGAAATGACGTCCTCCCTTGCTAACCCCTGGAGGCTTAAATACAGTTTGTGTGACTTGAAGAAAAGATTTACTTTGATTGGACTCCACTGTATCTGTTCAAGTATAATATCAAATTGCAAACCTTTTTATTTAAGTAAAAATTTACCTTTATTAAAAATAATCCTGCAGGCAAATAGAACCTCAATGTATGCAGTAAGAAGTGGCTGTATTCAAGAGAATTAAATTATTTTTGTTAGTTGATAAGACAGAGCAAACAGCTGCAACTGACTGCGATGACTGTTATTTTTATTTAGATAGCAGAAATAGTAGGTAGCTTTGCAGAAAATGTCACCATATCAGCCCATACTACAGAGTAAGCATGTTACAAAAAGTTTCCCAATTTAAAATAGGACAGTATAGTAACATTTTAAAGATTGCCTCAACAAAACATACTATTTTTTCATTGTTTAGACTAATTATTTTGCTCTTTAAAATTTAAGATAGAAAGGCATAGATAATGAGGGAATTCGTATGTCACCTCTTCTCTGTGAGTTCAAGTCCCATCTTTAATAATGCAAATGAATCTCCCATCCCAGTCTCTTTGTTCACTATACAGAACCATCACAGCACAACTCAGAGAGATTCAGCTCTCCTAAAACCCAGGTTTATAATTCCAGGTGCTCTGTCAGAGGTGTGAGGTACACTACATCACTGTAGCGTGTAAAACGTATTATTCTTATCTTCCTCTTGTCTTGCACCTCTGCCAACCTCCTAAAATCTTTTAGTATCCCAAGATCTGGACAAGCTGTTCTGTACCACTCCAATCCTTATTTTGAGCATAAGCAGTTACATGAATTCCTTTTTGTGCTGTGCTGTTGCCAAATGTATGTATAGAGAGAAGGGAGAGTATTTGGACTGACCAAAAGTGCTGTACCTGCAGATGGCATGACTGACTTCTGCAGTACGATTTTTGAAAGATGATGAATACCCAAATTTAGAGAAAATAAACAAAGACAAAGGTCAAAAAGATCAAAATACAAGTCAGCCTCTTCCTCAAATGTGCTGAAACTTGGTACAACTTGGCCAGCTCCAGCCACAGGATCAGCTAGCTCCCGCAGCTGTAACACTGTGACCCCATGCCACTGCTAAAATGCAGTCTGCCAATTAAAAGAAGAATTAAAGCTTTACAAATTAGCGGTGTATTAAGCCAACCAATAATGTGCAGCATATTTACATGTAAAATGATACACATACCAACCACCAAACCATTTCAAATGTGTGTGGAGAAGCTTTCACAATGCCTGCTTGCACCTTTCCTGCCTTTGCCTGTGTTTTGGTCTCCCCACTAAGAAATGCTAAGAAGTTGCTCATGGACTACATGGAAGTAGAAGGATAGAACTCATACTTAGTCATAAAACATTTGCCAACAGATCACGTTTTGCCATTCTGTTTTTTCCTCTCTGCCCCGACCCCCACCCCACCCCCCTTCCAAAAAGTTATGTTTTTCCAGCAGTAAGCCAGCACAAACCTTCACTTCTTTTCCTAACTGGTAGGTCACTGGGCTATAGCCAGCATCCCTCCCCTTGCCCACCCACAGAGGTTCAGTGTCCCCACGCTGCAATGCTCCTCACTATGTTCCCCTCATTTCCTACTGGGAATGCAATTTGCACTGTCCCCAACAGTCTAATGGGCTGAGTCTTGTAGTTTATTGTCACCCGTGTTCTTACTGTCAGGTGTTAACGACATTAGATTGGCCCTGGCATAAGTCAGCTCACCTAGTTTACAGACTGCATATATGGCATAAATTGTGTCGCTTTCGGCATTAAACTTTCCAGTTTTACAACTGAGACACAGAAAATGAAAAAGCTTGCTGTTTAACAGTGTAATTCAATTCAACCCAACAATCAATACATTATTTTATTACATGTTTTATATATATATATATATGATAAAGTTAAATGGCTAGAACAGTGGGTCTATACTCGAGTGTTTACCTCACATATGCATGAAGGAAAAATAAAAGTTGGTTCAACAATACTCTGTTCACATTATCCAGGCTTCCAAGTGTAGTTGTTGTGTGCAAGTTTTCTCTGTTCATGTGGTATTCCCCCCCCCCCCCCCCCCCCCGTGGTAGCATGATTATGCTTAGTACTTTGTCTGCTTGGCTTTTTGTGCTCTTGGCTGCATTCATTTAGATTTTCCTTTAAAACACTGATATTACTTATAGTTTTTACACTTGGCTCCTGTGTGTGTCTCATACGTACCCATCCAACTGTGTCTGTGTTCTGTGCTTTTCTGTTTGTGAAGTGTAATATGTTATGTGTAATGGTTTTTTTTTAACAATACAAAAAAAGACTTTTTTAATTAAAAAAGCCTTCCTACTTACTCACTGCAAAACTATCAACATGCATGGTTTTACATTTGCATTACAATTAACATGGCTTGTCTTTTACTAGGGATGTACCACATGAGTGGACGTTCGCTTTCTTTAACGAGTACTTCCCATCAGTTCTTTGATGGCTTTAAACTTGATTTATTTTAATATTACAGTTGATACAGATATTCAAAATGCACATAACTGAGCCACTCGTTTATGCATATAACATCCAGAGACTATGGACTTCAGCTGCCTGCACTGCCCTAACCATATGCTACATTTTTCACAAAGTATTCTCTAACACAGTGCTGCCCTGGGAAGGTGCTGCCTCTGACCCCTCTTTCCTTCTCTCCCCGCAGATCCGCGTCGTGAAGGCATTCCGTAGCTCTCTCTATGAAGGTTTAGAAAAACCAGAATCTAGAACCTCTATTCACAACTTTATGACTCATCCTGAATTTAGGATAGAAGATTCCCAGCCCCACATCCCACTCATTGATGACACAGACCTAGAAGAAGACTCTGCTCTCAAGAAAAACTCAAGTCCACCATCTTCGCTGAACAAGAACAACAGTGCTATCGACAGTGGAATAAATCTTACAACTGATACAAGTAAATCAGCTACCTCTTCTAGTCCAGGAAGCCCAATACATAGCCTGGAGA